CCCGACCCGACCCGACCCAACCCGATCGCGTATATGAGCACCCCCTATAAGGATACGTCGCGCGCGACTAAATGTTGCGTCACGCTTAAGGAGACAAGCTCTCTTCCCACTTGTCACTATTGCAAATTAATATGATAGGGGCGTAACACATTTGCTACACATTTACTAGTATTGCATATTCGTTTATAGTACATACAGCAACGTTTGCCTTGCAAAATCAATTATGGCCAATATAGATCGCCTCTGCTCAACACTCGGAAACAATTAACTTGATGTCCCTCGCGCTCTTAAGACTTATGCAGTTGCGATCGCCGTAAAACTTTAACCAAAATCAGAGTCAGTACTTTGACATTAGTGAATCTGAATAGGATAGTTTATGAGGGGGCTCTCGAGGTCGAGAGGTTACAGTATTCGTCTCTCATTCAATAGGTCCCGAGTTTCAATCCCGACAGTTTTCGTCTCTTAAACTTTCTCCTTTCACCTCCCTTTCTGCCCTCTAACAATGTTGTGTCATCTGCTTTCGTCTCCACTTTCTGCCCTCCCACCTCACCTCCTTTGCTCCCCCCTCTGGGCTCCAGACTCTTTCTGCAGCCTTTCTAATACTACTTCTTGACTCCTTCATACTGTTATCTTTCAGCCACATCCCTGATCTTATGGTAGGCAAAAATCTAACTCCTAGCCTTTTCTAATCTCGGACGTTCCGTGTGCAAGTTGCGCACGTTAAAAGTCCAGTAGTGGTCCAAAATCGCGAAGAGTAGGCTTCAGCCGCATGCAACACGGGCAAAATTCAAAATTTTGTACCAACTGGCACGCTCATTTATATGACCTTATGCAGTTGCGAGCGCTGTAAAAGACTTACAAAAAAAGAACAACACAAAAACTAAACAACCCACCCACCCCCCCAAAAAAAACACATCCCCAGCAATAAACCCAGTTCATAAACACAACTGAAGAGCATGTTTTGGTAAGAGAAAGAGAAACTCGCTTTACTTACCGGTACCATGGAACCAGTTACACCCCACACCCCCATGGTGTTTGAATAAGAATAAGTAGATCTACATCTACACAATTATCGCCGCTTCGCCCCTGCAACACCCACTTCCCGTTGAGAATTCGAGCCAAGGCTACCTACAGGGTACGACAGCAACAGAGCTTTTGGAAATGCACGCAAATTTTAGTATTAGATCTAGACTTATATCTTCTTTATTAACTGCGATCAATTACACCCCCCCCCCTTTCCACATCATCATCATCATCCAGTGCCAGATCTGCGGCAGACATCTGCGATCATGATTTTCCATTCATTCCTTTGCTCGGTTGCTCTCAGATTCTTCCACAAGCAATGTCAAAATACGATGATGTGGCAATTAAAAAAAAATAAATTTTGGCGCTGCTCCTGCGGCGACAAGGTCGTGTTTACATCGGCTCTGCTTGTTTTGGAGCTCTTTTACTGTTTCTGTTTGGACTGTGTGTCTGAAACTTTCCTTATTCCACCATGGAGGTGCAGTGCTGTGTTCGGACTTTTAAGTGCATTTTTTGGTGAATAATTTTATTGACATTTTTCGGTGAAATAAGACCTTTACCAAACTACTCGCCATTTTCCACCATTACGTATAGCCCAGCCATGTTACTAAACCTCCGCCCCCAGTGCCTGAGTTCTTGTCACCATGCTCAGTACGACTTCCCGCAACAACAGAAACGGAAGAGGGGGAGGAAAGGAGGGATCAGGGAAAAAAACAAGCGTAGGAAAGCCAGACCCTTTGTACTAGCTATTGTGTTTGGCAACACTAGGTCTTTTAACAACAAACTAGAAGAACTGTCAACATGCTGTCGACATTTTAAAGAATACCGTGACGCTTCGTTTCTTGCGTTCACCGAGACATGGTTTGAATCGACGATGGCCGACTCAATAGCACACATGGACGACTTTCACATTTTTCGCTGCGACCGAACCCCTGCTGCCGGAAAGACCAAAGGTTGCGGCGTGTGCCTCTATGTTAACCACCACTGGGCACACCGTAACAACATCACTCTTAAAGAAACACTATGCACCCCCAACATTGAACTCCTTACTGTCAACGTGAGGCCTTTCTATCTGCCCAGGGAGTTAACTGGTGTCATCATCAACGTGGTCTACATCCCACCCCAAGCCACGGAGAGCGAGGCTGTTGAGATCCTAGCGTCTCGCATTCACCAGCAAAAGCTACAGTCACCGGACGCTGTCATCCTGACTCTTGGTGACTTTAACCATTGCCGTCTCGACTCGTCACTTCCCCACTTCCACCAATATGTTACGTGCGCCACAAGGTTACAAAAGACCATCGACCTGTGTTATGGCAACGTCAAGGACGGCTACAAGTCTCTCAACCTTCCATCGCTGTGAGACTCAGATCACAACAACATCCTTCTGATCCTCAAGTACCGCCCCCTGCTCAAGACAAAGAAACCAACGACCAGGACGATACCATCATGGACAGACGACACGACCGAGCAGCTACGAGGATGCTTCGACTGTACAGACTGGGACATGTTTAAAGACACCTGCAAGGACCTTGACGAACTTACCGAAACCATCTGTGCTTACATTAAGTTTTGTGAAGAAACTGTTACTATTTATAAAACCCTTACGTACTATCCAAATAATAAGCCATGGGTAACGAAAGAACTGAAAGATCTTATAAAAGAAAAACGGAAAGCCTTTAAAAGTAATAACATGAATGAAATGTACTTGATATCTAAAAATATTAAAAGAAAGATTGCTCATTGTAAACAAGCGTACAAAACTAGAATTGAGAGCGAATTTCAGACAAATAATATGAGGAATATGTGGTCCTCTTTGAAAAAAAGAACGGGTTATACTGCAGCGAGAGAGAGAGAGTGTGCAAGTAAAACATGAAAGAGACTATGTAAATGAGCTAAACAACTTTTATTGTCGTTTCGACTGTTTTGATTTTGAGAATGAGCAGCGTGATCTTAAACAGAGGCTAAGAGACGAGTTGAGCAAGGAGGAGTGTGTTGAGCTCAGTGAGCGGAGTGCTAAAAAGAAATTTCAAGGTGTAAACATAAACAAAGCCTGTGGTCCAGACGGAGTAAAATGGAGAGTGTTAAGAACTTGTTGTGAGCAACTGGCCCCGATATTTACCTTCATTTTTAACCTGACCCTACACAAAACTACATTCCTACAATATGGAAAACATCGGAGGTAATACCAATACAAAAAAATCCTAAAATATATTAATTAAATGACTCGCTCTTACATCCATTGCTTTCAAGTGCCTTGAAAAATTGATCCTCTCTAATATTCTAGGCCGTGTTCATGGAAATCTAGATCCATTCCAGTTTGCATACAAACACGAGAGGAACGTAGAAGATGCTGTACTTGTTTTTTGTGACTCTATACTGAAACACCTTGAAACATCTAAAACGTATACGAGGGTACTTTTGTAGATTTTTCCTCAGCATTTAATACAATTCAACCGCATATTGTCATTGAAAAACTTCTGAGTCTGAGAGTTAGTCATCATATCGCAGCATGGGTCCTGAAATTTTTGACAGGTAGACCACAATATGTGAAGCTAAACAACACAAAATCTGACACAATTCTTTGTAACACCGGCGGTCCTCAGGGGTGTGTTTTGTCACCAGTTTTGTATACTATATATACCAACGATCATAGAAGTATATATAAAACAACACGCTAACTAAGTTTGCAGATGACTCCGCTATTATTGGATTAATAAACCTTGATGAAAAAGAGAATTTCGAAGAAATATGTAGGTTTTTTAAATGGTGCAACTCAAATTTTCTAAAAGTGAACCTCTCAAAAACAAAGGAAATGATTTTTGATTTTAGAAGAGAAAACCCAACAACCCCACCACTCGTTATTGAACAAGAAACTATTGAAATCACGGATTCATACAAATATCTTGGCCTTGCAATAGACACCAAATTTACATGGCAAAACCACGTAAACAATATCGTTAAAAAGGTAAATCAC